TTAATTTTTGCATGATATTTTCATACAGGACATCTGTTGTACAAACTCAGGGAAGACTTTATACTGATGAATAAGGTGACCAAGTTTGGTAAAGTTTGGAATAGAATTAGTAAAGTTATTATGCACACAATAACAATTATTAACGACGACAACAACGACAACGCCGGACAAAATTTTTCCCTTAATATACCTTTCGCTTCCATCTTTGATGGTACGGGCAAGGTAACAAAACAAAACTATTCTTCGACATGACTTGTTGGCGACCGTGAAAGGTTTGAATACTTCCTCCACCCTCAGTTTACGTTTTGAATATTGCGAATCAACAGCTTTTAGGAAAAAACAATGTTTTTTTTTTTTTAATTCAGCGTTAACAGATCGCATTTTAACTCACTTCCGCATTGCGAGGGAAAAATTAATTCGCCAATAATCGAAAAACTTTCAGCTTTCCAATTGGTTCAAATTTGCACATGCTTTACGTGAAATTTTAATGAGGTGCAATAGAGCACGCTCCCATAGTTTTAACTATGGGAATTTTCGCTCACATAAAAACTGAACACAAATCAACCATTTTTTTTTTACTAAAATACACTTAGTCTAGTTAATCTTAAATTTAGTATATATTTTAAAGAGAACATGCAATGTTACCCAAAATTGTTATTTTTAATTATGAAAACAATCAAATTAAATGTGCTTTCTGGCAGGTCTGTATAACAAAAAATTTTGAGAAAACTAATGAAAAATTAAAAAACTCTAGGTAGTGAATTAAAATCTATTACAGCTATCCTTTCATCCTTCACTAAATAAACCTGTATATTAAAATGTTTCCGTATTTAAAAAAATATTTGTGCGGGAAAAATTATAGCATTTAAACAAATAACCATGAGATTATGTTCTTCTAAACAATATACACAAATTAATTAATTAACTTATTAACTTACCAACTCCTCTTCCTTATCTCGCTTATCCAATGCAGCGTCCATTGCATCAAAGAACTCTTCATCTTTAATCACAGAGTGTGGTCCCTCCTGCAAAGAAGCACACATTGATAAACCAAAACAAAACTCATTCTTGAATCTTGATAATATTTCCATGTTGTACTCTCCGTTACAAAACCCACTGTTATTGAAAAGGCATGGTAGATATGTCTGCATCAAATCCAAGAGAATCATGTGACAAAGACACATGGAGATGTAGAGATATGAGCTGTGAATACTAAACACACCTGTGAATGTCAGTTTCATTAGCAATGCTAAACCATAGGAAGTAACATGACAGGGGAATACAGTGACAATGTGATCAGAATCAAATCTAACTACAATTGACATAAAAATCTTAATTTTAATTCAAAAGTTTAATAAAATAAAAAATTCATTTGTATTCCATTCCGCACATTAAATTTCCATCATTCATCGTCTTTCACATTAAATATTTATATTTTTAACATGGCCTAATTATAATAATTTGTCTGTTTTCAATACCATAGCAACTTCTTGACATAAATTATCTTTCATATCGTGTTATAGAATTATCTTGACACAAAGCTTATGAACAGGTTAAAATTTTTAATAATGATAATATTATGCCTTTCTGTTTCCTGTAACATGATATATGTTATACTAGTTGTGTTCACTCACAGTTCCTTAGCACGGGCAAAGAGGTCAAATTCCTTAGCCCATGCTAAGCAAACGTGCATGACCGCTTAGCACGGGCTAAGGAATGCTAAGTACGGGTTAAATCTGATCCGAATTTAAGACGCGATCTAGACCCTTAGCACGGGCTAACGAAGTGTGCGCGAACGCTTAGCCCAGGGCTAAGCGCCCTCTGCAGCGACCTTTGAGTGTGAACATTATGCATGTGATCAAATATATCCAATTTTCTCATTCCCAAAATGGCAACCGAGCTCAGTGTACACGCGTCCACACTGATCGGGCCACTGTAGTAGAGCGTACAGCAGCTCCAATCGTAGACAAAATAAAATTG